GATGACCCTATTTCCAAATAAGGTCATTTTGAGGTACTAGGGTTTAGGATGTCAACATATCTTTTGGGGGACACAATTTAACCCATAACAATACCTAATTACTTACTAAGAGATCCTGTGTCAGTTGTTTTAGAATATTGCTAAATTCATTAAAAAATGTATCAACTGATTCAACTCTGTAATTTGAAATAGAGAAAAGAGACAAATGACATCATATACTGTTAAAATATCTGCAGTGACAAAATTTTGCATATCGACCAGGCCTTTATGGGGACTAGCATTTTTGACTTTAATAAAAGCTCTGCAGTCAATATTGTTTATATTTTTGATAAGATATTTGGCTGAGCCACTGATTTTAATCTCATTTTCTTGAATATATTTCCAAATCTATTCAGCTTTCTACATAGAGTTTTCATATTTGCTTTTAGAAGTGAGAAAAATAAAGTTAGAAAAAAGAAGCTCATCTAAGTTAAACACACTCTGTGACTACCTTCTTTCTCTTTTTCTTACTGAAATGTGTAAAATGAAACTGTCTTCTTTCAAGACGAGGCTTAAGAATCTTATTAGATTTATAAGGACTTCCGAGTGCTGTAATAAATCTGCCAGCACCATCTTTAATTCAGAGCATTGTTGCAACTGTCTTGCTGTAAAGTATAACTTTCTGAGCTGTTTCTCCCAATTTTTGGTATTAGTGTTAGAAATTAAAAGTTAAAAATAAACAAGTTTTTTTTTTTTCTTTTCTTTTTTGTTTTTTGAGATGGAGTCTCACTCACTCTGTCGCCCAGGCTGGAGTGCAGTGGCATGATCTCAGTTCACCGCAACCTCCACTTCTTGGGCTCAAGCGATTCTCCTGTCTCAGCCTCTAGAGCAGTTGGGACTGCAGGTGTGTGCTGTCATGCCCGGCTAATTTTTGTATTTTTAGTAGAGACAGTGTTTCAGCATGTTGGCCAGGCTGGTCTCAAACTCCTGGCCTCAAGTGATCTGCCCGCCTCGGCCTCCCGAAGAGCTGGGATTACAGGCGTGAGCTATAAATAAGATATCTTGAAAGCAGACGACAACTAGGGACTAAGAAGTCATCTAATTTAATCCCCTGATGTGCAGTTGAAGATATAGAGGCCCAAAGGTTACTGATGGTGACTTAGCTAGCTTGGGCATAGCAAAACTAGATCTACAGTCTTGCTCCAATGACTCACATTGTCTCTTCCATATCTTATTCCAAAGTTGTTCAAAAGATAAATGGCTAGCACTGAAATGCATCCTTTAAATGTGTGAATTGTATATGTGAATTATATCTCAATAAAGCTGCTGAAGCAAAGATAAATTGATGGGTTTCAGAGATATGGTAATGAAAGCACAATATGCTTAAGAAACATCTGTTTTACATAATAGTTTATTTTTTAATTGCACAGTAGTACATGGTCATTTGAAAACAGCAACTTGCCCCAATTCTAAGGTTTAAATAAATTAGTTTAGAATTATATTTTATTTATAGCATTATCAACTTCATAGAAGTAGAGGATAATTTAGAGAAGGAAAATTGTTTAAGAGGCAATCTTAAAGCTGGGCACAGTGACTCATGCCTGTAATTCCAGCACTTTTGGAGGCTGAGGCGGGCAGATCACTTGAAGCCAGGAGTTGGAGAACAACCTGGGCAACATGGTGAAACCCCATCCCTACTAAAAATATGAAAGTTCCCACTTGAACCTGGGAAGTGGAGGTTGCAGTGAGCTGAGATCATGCCACTGCACTCCAGCCTGGGTGATAGAATGAGTGAGACTCCATCTCAAAAAACAAAACAAAATTGAAAATACAAAAATTAGTGCATGCCTGTAGTCCCAGCTTCTTGGGAGGCTGAGGCAGAAGGATCACTTGAACCCAGGAAGTGGAGGTTACAGGCACGCACTCCAGCCTGGGTGACAGAGCAAGTCACCGTCTCAAAAAATAAATAAAATAAAAATTAAAAAAAGAAGTAGTCTTAAAACATTTTTGACAGAAAACCTGTACACATTTATAGTACTAAATTAAAATGCAAACTCTGAAATAATGCTTTGTCAGGGAGCATGGAGTACTGTACTGTAAGTCCACTCTCTAGAGGACAAATTAGAATAATAGGAACTTTAGTGTTTTTCCCTGTTACTGCTTTCCAGATCTCTTATTAATAATTCATAGACCTCCCAAATTTTTCTTCCTTATCTTTATCATCTGTTTTTCATCGTTTTGTTTTAATGTTAGAAAAAATAATCAGTTTTATCGAGGTATAATTTGCATCCAATTAAGTTCACTCATTTTAAGTGTATTATAGTCCATTGATTTTTGACAGTGTATATAGTCATATATCCGTCACCGCAATCAAGATGTGGATGATTTCTGTCATTCCCAGAACTACCCTAGTCCCTTCTGCTGTCATTCCCTTCCTCCAGCCCACAGCCTTGCAGTTTTTGTTAATTTATAATGTAACATAAACAGAACCATATCGTATGTAGTCTTTTGTGTCTCTCTTCTTTCATTTAACATAATCCTCATGAGTTTCTTCTTGTTGTTGTGTATACCAAGTTAGTTCCTTTTTATTGCTGATTAAAATTCCAAAGCTATAATGTATTTATCCTTTCACCAGGGGATGGACAATTGGGTTGTTTCCAGTTTTCATCTCTCTTGGAAAAAATACCCAGGTGTGGAATTACTGAGTCATATGACTGGGGATGTTTCAGTGTTTTAAGAAACTGTCAAATGTTTTTCCAACGTGGTTGTACCATTTTATATTTGCCACAGCACTATATCTCCATGCCAAATTTTTATGCTGTTTTCTTGAATAAATTTTATAATTTTGGTTGTTCTGTTCAGGCTCATGATCCATTTTGAGTCAATGTTAGAATGTGATGTAAAACAAGGATCAGCATTCTTGTTCATTTTTTTTTCACATATGTATGTCCAATTGTCCCAGCACTATTTGTTGAAAAGGCTGTCCTTTCCCTACTGAAATACCTTGACACTTTTTAAAAAATTGAGTTTATATGTATGGCTCTAAGAGTTTGTTTCTACACCTTCTACTCCATTCCATTGATCTAGTTGTCTACCTTTATGCCAGTACAACATTGACTTAATTATTGTAGATTTATGATAAGTCTTGAAATCAAGTTTAAGTCCCTCTGGCTTCCTTAATTTCTCCCAGCAATGCTTGTAGCTTGCAGCGTAATGGTCTTGGGCATATTTTGTTAAATCAATCCTTCGATATTTCATGTTTTCTAGTGCTATAGTAAATGATATTGATTTTGGGGGTTTATTTATTTATTTAAATTGACAAAAGTTGTGTATGTTATATGCAACACACTGTTTTGAAATATGTGTATGTTGTAAAATGGTTAAACTGAGCTAATTAACATGTATTATCTCACATACTTATTTTTTGTGGTTCAAACACTTAAAATCTATTCTCAGCAATTTTCAAGAATATAATACATTGTTACTTACTATAGTTACAATGTTGTACAACAGACTTCTTGAATTATTCCTCCTAACTAATATTGTGTATCTTTTGGCAACATAATTATTGCTTTTTTAAAAAATTTCAATTTTCACTAGATTGTTGCTAATATATCGTTTTGTTCCTGTTTTCCCTATTTCCTGAGAGGTTCTTCAACTTCATCTTCTAACACTATTAATGAAAAAACTGCAATTAAACAATTATTTTTCAGCAAGGTAAAATATGTATGACACAGAGTTTATTATTTTAACAATTTTTCAGTGGCATTAAGTATATTCACATTTGCTGTATAACCATCAACACCATCCATCTCCTGGAATTTTTCATCATCTCATAGCCACTTTTTGGCTATTGAGAATAACATTGCTATGAACATATCATTAGTTTTAAGTTATAAATTCTTTCATGTTCTCTTTTTTATTTTTATTGTTTCTGTTTTATGGATGTGATACCTTCTTTTATCTCACTCTAAATAGGTGTTTTGTTTTGTTTTGTTTTTTTCAGATGAAGTTTTGCTCTTGTTGCCCAGGCTGTAGTGCAGTAGCATGATCTCTGCTCACTGCAACCTCCACCTCCCGGGTTCATGCAACTCTCCTGCCTTAGCCTCCCGAGTAGCTGGGATTACAGGTGCCTGCCACAATGCCTGGCTAATTTTTTGTATTTTTAGTAGAGATCGGGTTTTGCCATATTGGCCAGGCTGGTCTTGAACTCTTGACCTCAGATGATCCACCTGTCTCAGCCTCCCTAAGTGCTGGGATTATAGGCGTGAGCCACCACGTCTGGCCAGTTACTCTAAATATTAATATAGTTTCTTTGTTATTTTCTTCTGTTCTCTGTATGTTTCTGCTCCTTCAAGTTTTTTTAGTCTATTCGTTTTCATTCATTACTTTTATCGAATGTCAGGTGGTTCTTGTTTTTTGTTTCGTGTGTAAGGGTATAGCCTTAAAAATATGTATGGGAAGCTCTGTGGGGAGAAGGAAGAAGACGAGAGGATGTAAATGTGAGGCCGATCAGGCCTTTTTACTGATGTACTCTACATGCCAATATTTTGAAGAATTTTCTCTGGAGCCATTTTGTTTCACCATATAAGAATTCTCCCATTTCCTATCTAGGGGAAAATGGGGCATAGGAGACAGCAGGAGTTGGGGGAACAGGCTTTTTGGCAGTAGGATGGGGATATGGGGACTAAGAGTTCCACTTTTACTTAATTCATTTGTTTCCAATCCTGGTACCTCCAAGGGCTTGGCTCCTAGGAGTTCTGTGACACAAAATGACTTGCTTCTGGTTGATATTGCTCCTTGAAAGATATTTAGGTTTTAACTTCATCTACTTCGCTAAGTCAGTAACTGCTCTTCCATTTGCCTTTGTTCTTCCATAAATGTGTTGAAATATCTTCTCCATTATTGTCTCCTCTCTTATTATCTTTGTCCTTGTTGGTTAATATCATTTAAAAAATTGCTTTACTCACATTTTAACAGGGTTTTGGGATGGAGAGGAAATGAATACATGACACGCCACATTTAACTCATTAGATTAAATAACATTTTATTCATAAATGATGAACATTTCCTTTACCACTTGACAGGAAAAATTCTCCTCAGGACAATAAATAAAACTAATATAAATGAAAATTCTAGATGACAATAATTTTTTAGTAATAAAGGTAAATGAGTTTCAACAAAGACACAGTTACGTCATATACTGTAGAACTTCTTGTGATGATTGTGTTTCTGGGTTCTGTGGATAAAAGCAGGCAACAAGTAAAATAGGAGTAATATAGATCTATTGATTTTTTAAAATTCTATAACTCATAAATAAAAGTAACATATAAGAGAATCACTATCTGGTTAATTTTTGTAATTTAATGGAGCTTGCTTAATCTCGAATTACTTTTCTTTTCGCCATTTCCTTTTCTTTAGGGTCTTCATTATGAATGGTTACAGGAAGAGGCAAAAGTCCAGTAGGCAATTCTGCTTGTTATTGGCTAAGAGGCTGGAGTCACTGGCTTACTGAAGATTTTCAGGCAATCTGTAGGCTTAAATTATTGGTGCTGTACCTATTACTATTGATTACTTTGTGGTAAAAATACAATTATACAGAACACTTACTGTAATACTATTTTGAGTTCTGAGTTTAATATTTAAGGTGGATAGAGAAGACAAAAAGGAGCACGTATGTAAAAACTAAAACACTGGGCCGGGCGTGGTGGCTCAAGCCTGTAATCCCAGCACTTTGGGAGGCCAAGGCGGGTGGATCACGAGGTCAAGAGATCGAGACCATCCTGGTCAACATGGTGAAACCCCGTCTCTACT